CCTGTAATCCCAGCACTTTGGGAGGCCAAGGCGGGCGGATCACCTGAGGTCAGAAGTTCGAGACCAACCTGACCAACATGGAGAAACCCTGTCTCTACTAAAAAATACAAAATTAGCCGGGCGTGGTGGCACATGACTGTAATCCCAGCTACTCGGGAGGCTGAGGCAGGAGAATTGCTCCAGCAGCCTGCAACAAGAGCGAAACTCGTCTCAAAAAAAAAAAAAAAAAAAAAAATGCTTATTTATCCCTTATTTTGGAGACGGAGTCTCGCTCTGTCGTCAGGCTGGAGTGCAGTAATGCGATCTAGGCTCACTGCAAACCTCCGCGTCCCTGGTTCGATCTATTCCCCTTCCTCAGCCTTCCGAGTAGCTGGGACTACAGGCGAAGCTGGCCGCTCCCGGCTGATTTTTTGTATTTTAGTAGAGATGGGGTTTCGCCATGTTTCTCAGGCTGGTCTTGGACTCCTGAGCTCAGGCATCCCGCTCGCCTCGGCCTCCCAAAGTGTTGGAATTACAGGCGTGAGCCACCACATACGGCCCACTTATTTATCTCTTTAGAAGCCAAATAACATTTTTTCATCATACCTGATTTTAGTTATCACCCAGCACACTTAAACTGAGCTCTCTATTTCCCAGGCACTATTTAATGATCTGGGGGTTATATCAATCACCCCAAATCTCTGGAAGGAGAGAGACATGCACATAAATATATAGCAATATTGTGTAGAGAGAAGAGCTGGGAAGGAAAATGAAACCCAGTAAGGAGATGGCTAGTGATGGAGGGGTGTTCTTTGAGATAGGTGATTGAAGAAGGCCCCTCCAAGGAGATCTGGACTGTAGTGACTGGCGTGAAAATTTAGGAGTGCTTTCTACACCGAGGGATCCCTGAAGAAGGATCCTGCCTGGCATATTTAAGGAACCACAGGAAGCTCAGTGCCAGAGGAGTGAGCCAGGGCAGAAATATTCAGAGAAAAAGCAGGAGCTTCCCTTTGCCAATCAGGCTCAAATCAAGTCATCTTCCCAGCCTCAGTTTGACTTAGATCCCCACTCCTGGGCACTTGACCCTGTTTAATTTTCTTCACAGCTTTTATGTAATCTGAAATTATCTTGTTCATTTCTTCATAACTAAATCACCTACCCGCCTCCTCTTCCTCTCTCTCTCTCTATCATACACATGCCAACTAGAATGTAAGTTCCATACATCAGAGCCTGCCCATTTAATTCACCTGTATCACCAAAATCTAGAATGGTGCCTGTCATAGACAGACATAATAAATATGTGGTGACTGAAGGAACCAGAAGAAAGTGCCTGGAGGAAACAAGTCTATTCCAGTGGTTTTCAGACTGTTTTGGTCTCAAGACCCCTTTACATGCCTAAAAAGTACTGAGGATCCCAAAGTTTTTGTTTATGTGGGTTATGTCTGCTAATATTTATAAGTTAAAACTGAGAATTTAAAAAATTCATTAAAAAAATAAATTCATTACATGTTAACAAAAAGAGTATCTTTATTAAAACTAATACTCTATTTTCCAAAATAAGGAATAAATTAGTAAAAAGAGTGGCATCATTTTAATTTTTGGCAAGTCTCATGTATATGTGTGTGTGTGTGTGTGTGTGTGTGTGTATACATATACACATTTTATTTTTATTTTTTGAGACAGTCATACTCTGTCACCCAGGCTGCAGTGCAGTGCAGTGGCACAATTACAGCTCACTGCAACTCTCACCTCCCAAGCTCCAGTGAGTCTCACACCTCAGCCTCCCAAGTAGCTGTAACTACAGGGGCACGCCACCACACCTGGCTAATTTTTTGTAGAGATGGGGTCTTGCCATGTTGCCCAGGCTGGTCTTGAACTCCTGGGCACAAGCAATCCACCTACCTCGGTCTCCTGAAGTGCTGGGATTACAGGAGTGAGCTACCATGCCCAGCCTTTCAAGTCTCTAATATCCAGTTTACCTAACCTCAATGTAAATTTCCTGAGAGCATGGTCAGTGGTATTTCTCTTGCAGTCCCCCTAGAGTACTGCACAAAAACAAATTAACATTTTTTGGATTTTGCTGAAAACCCATCACTTTATAAGATGAGGGGCTAGGCGCAGTGGCTCAAGCCTGGAATCCCAGCACTTTGGGAGGCCGAGGCGGGTGGATCACAAGGTCAAGAGATCGAGACCATGCTGGTCAACATGGTGAAATCCTGTCTCTACTAAAAATACAAAAAATTAGCTGGGCATGGTGGTGCATTCCTGTAATCCCAGCTACTCAGGAGGCTGAGGCAGAATTGCCTGAACCCAGGAGACGGAGGTTGTGGTGAGCCGAGATCGTGCCATTGCACTCCAGCCTGGGTAACAAGAGTGAAACTCTGTCTCCAAAAAGAAAAGAAAAAAAAATGATGAGGGAACACTGCTTTAGAAAAATTACTAAGAACAAGATAACATATGTAGAGGTTTAATATAGTGCCTCACATAGACTAAGTTGCTAAGGAGTGACATGATGTGACTCCTTTTTTTTAATTTTTTGAGATGAGGTCTCACTATGTTGCCCAGGCTAATCTTGAGCTCTTGAAGGCTCAAGTGATCCTCCCACCTTGGCCCCCCAAAGTTCTGAGATTACAGGCATGAGCCACTGAGCCTGGCCTGATTTATGTTTTAAAATAATCTTTCTAGCCATGCGGATAACAGGAGAACAAGTGGAGAAGGCAGAGAGACCAGTGAGACCGTAATCTAGGACTGCAGAGAGGATGGTGACTTGTACTAGGGGAGTTGAGAGCAGTGGTGAGACTCGGGTCAAATAAATGCCATGATTTGCTCCACAACCAACTGGTTGGGAGTGGAATGTTAGTATGATTTGAATGTAACTTTTTTTGCTTTGTTTTGTTTAGAGGAGAAGTCTTGCTGTTTCCCAGGCTGGAGTTGGAGTGCAGTGTACATTCTTGGCTCACTACAACCTCTGCCTCCCAGGTTCAAGTGATTCTCCTGCCTCAGCCCCGCTAGTAGCTGGGACTACAGGTGCACGCCAGCATGCCTGGCTAATTTTTGTGTTTTTAGTAGAGGCGGTTTATGAAGTTTCTGGCAGCTAAATGCACAGTCAGTGACAACTATTAAATTTCATCTCAGCCAGTCATGGTGGCTCACGTCTATAATCCCAGCGCACTTTGGGAGGCTGACACGGGTGGATCACTTGAGGCCAGGAGTTCGAGACCAGCCTGGGCAACATGGCAAAACCTGTCTCTACTAAAAATATATAAACTAGCTGGGCATGGTGGTTCACGCCTATAGTCCCAGCTATGTGAGAGGCTGAGGCATGAGAATCGCTTGAATCCAGGAGGTGGAGGTTGCAGTCAGTTGAGATCGTGCTACTGCACTCCAGCCTGGGTGACAGAGTGAAACTGTCTAAAAAAAAAAAAAAATTCTATCAAAGCCATACTGAGGCTCTGTATCACTCAGAATAGATCTGTATTCAGTTTCCTTCGAAAGCCTAATTCCAACCCTCTAATTCCATCTTTTCCTGATCAAGTGACTTCTGAACATGGATATCCAGGGAAACCTGTGTTTACTTACTACACTCACCAGGTTTTGTTTAATTCTAATAAACATGCATACCCATTTCCGTTCCCTCTATAAACCAGTTTAGATACACAATGTTTTCTTACATGTCAAATTTCTTAAATATTAAAATTAACAGTAACAAAGAGCTTTTCCTGACATTTTCAAAGTTAAAAAAAAGGGCCACAGATCACATTGATGGATAATTTGATTCATCAGATATAAAAGTAAAAAAAGAGAGTTTTGTTCTAAGTCTGCACTGATGGTATTATGTTGATTGGTTACAGTCTCAGGAGGTGAGCAAACAGTTTGACCCATTGACAGTCTTTTTTTTTTTTTTAAGAGATGGGGTCTTGCTCTGTTGCCCCAGCTAGAGCACTGCAGCCTCAAACTCCCGGGCTCAAGCAATATCCTGCCCCGGCCTTCTGAGCAGCTGGGACTACAGGTACGCCACCATACCCAGCTTATTTTTAAAATTTTTTCATGGAAGACAGGGTCTCACTATGTTGTCCAGGCTAGTCTCAAACTCCTGGGCTCCAAGTTATCCTCCTGTCACGGCCTCCCAGAGTACTGAGACTATAGGCATGAGCCACTGCATCCCCACTGCCCTACCCCACCCTATACCTTTTTGAGACAGGTTCTTGCTCTGTTGCCCAGGCTGGAATGCAGTGGCATGATTGGGGCTCACTGCAGCCTTGATCTCCATGCTCAAGCGCTCTTCCCACCTCTGCTTCCTGAGTAGCTGGGCCCAGCCGGCAATCCCTTTTATGGTCTTGTTTCTTTTCAATACACTGTTTCTGGCTTATTTCTTTATTAAATTTAATCAAAGACAAGGCTCTAACTGTGTTGCCCAAACTGGTCTCAAACTCCTGGTCTCAAGCAATCCTACTGCCTTGGCCTCTCAAAATGCTAGGATTACAGCAAGAGCCACTGTGCCTGGCCCATGGTCATGTTTCTTACTTAAGTATTTCGAATAAATTCTATGTATGTTCAAGTCACTTAACTGAAAAAGGGCATTGCAGTGTACCAATGCAGCAATCAGACCACCTGGCTTGAACTCTGAGCTACCAGTTACTTGTTCTGTGACATCAGTGGCATGTTATTAAACCTCATGCCTCATTTTCCTCATCTGTCACATGAAGGTAACCTGTTTCATTGTATAGGACTCAATAATTTAATACCTGAAAACGCTGAGGACAGTGCCTGGCAGCTGGCAAGTCAACAATGGTTAGTTAATGTTATTCTGACTGATTAATTTTGGAAATCATGTGTCAAGTCACATTTACACAAACTGATGAGCTCAATCACTGAGTACCCTTAAGGGATGATGAACATTGAGAAAATTCGTAAAGCACTGTGCCCTGATTAATCAGGCAGTTTATATAACATGGCTACAGAGACGAATGATATTATAGTAATAAGTTTGTAGCAGTATGTAAGTAAATATCAGAGCCACATCAGAGAGCACAAAAAGTTGGATTTATTGTTTCTGACAAGTGCATAGTAACTTTCAGTTTGCTGGTGTTCCTAGCATCGCAAATCTGAAGTACAATTTTGCTTCTCAATTAAAAAGATACACTCTGAAAAGTGATTCGGAAGTTCTAAAGATTTTAGTCATTTATAGAATATCTTAAAAATCCTTGCCAAGTAAGATTAACTTTATAAACCTTTGTGTAAAATGAAGAAAAAAATCAAGGCATACAAATTTCATTGTGTCCTACGTTTTAAAATACCATCCTTTATCTTCTCTGAAAGATTTTCATTTTAAGTTCAACTGTCCAATTTAAGACAGAAAGTGAAGACGCTTTTGAGTATCTGAACTAAGCATTGTCTTGACTGAAACGAAGTAAGAACTCTATGAGAGTCCTTGTGGGCCTCCCGGTCATGCCTTTCCGTAGATAGGGAACCTCATCTTTGTTAGTCATCACGCCTGCTATGTCTAAATGTGCCCACTTGGGATGAGTCACGAATTCTTTCAGGAATGCCGCAGCTGTACATGCTCCCGCAGACCTGCAGAGAAAGACAAAAAGGACTTTATAACCCCATGTAAATGTGCACAGAGATCCCACATTCTTGGTACATACATTTATAGAACAAAAGTCAAGCTTATAGGACCTATTAAGATGCTAACTCACATATCACTTTCACAATATTTATTTTCACATAATGCTTTAAGCAGTAAAGGATAAATTCTAGATTCCTTTTTGCTATGGTAATGAATTCCCATATTTTCCATCTCTTACCCTTACCATTCACTTAAAATTAGCTTTAGATTGGAAACATGCAAATTTTGAGACCTGGTTGAAGAAATGCTTGAAATTCAAGACATTAAAAACCTTACAAACACTACACCAAAAGGAAATTAAATAGTTAAACCTTTTATAAGGGGATAAAATGGAAAATGTTGGCAATCAAGGATGACTCTATAAATGTACATTTAGCTTATCTTACATACCTATATTTTCCAATGTTGTTAACATCAGCAAGCTGGCAATCTACAACCTGTCTTGTATAATGTTCGAAGAGAGGCATCCTCCAGACACGGTCCCCTGTTTCAATGCTGGCCTAGAGAAGAAACAGGTGTGACAGTTGGAAGACTGGATGAAGTAGGTTCTGGGAAAGTCACGGCATTGAGATGCTCAATGCATGAAGGAAGAATTGTTCTAACCTGTTACTCTAAAACCTGAAACTATAAAATAGGTTTCAGAATTGTGTCCATTCACTAAAAGATTTATTTTAGAACTATAAAAGAAATCAGGAATGCCGTGAAGCAGTTTCACAAATCTGTAGGGCATTTTGGTAAAATCATCAAACTACAATTCCAGGTTTTATGGGTTGATTAGGGTGAAAGGGTTCTCATGAGGCAGGTCACTTCAATGTGATAGAAACACGTTACTGGACCTGTATCACTGAAGTCCTGAGACAAGGTGACCACATTCATTCATTCATTACCCATTCACTCATTCATTCATTGTTTACTGAACTAGTGAGCACCATCAGGTGTGCTGAAGCCACCTGAGGGCCTACAGGCCAGTAAGAGAAACAGATACATAAAAAGATTATTTAACTCACTGGTAACAAGTCAAAGATAAGACCTAAAAGTGAAAAATCAAGAAGTGGCAATATAAGCTATTATTTTAAGACATAAGTAAACAGATAATCAGCTAAGGGTGGAAAGTGGCTGCCTTCTGGAAAACAGACTGTGGGCTGCTGATTGTTAATTTACGCACATATAACTGAGATTTTTTTTAAAAGCTTAAATGTTTTTAAAAAGTCAAAATAGGCTGAGCACGGTGGCTCATGCCTGTAATCCCAGCACTTTGGGAGGCTGAGGCGGGTGGATCACGAGGTCAGGAGATAGAAACCATCCTGACCAACATGGTAAAAACCCATCTCAACCAAAAATACAAAAAGTAGCTGGGCATCATGTCATGTGCCTATAATCCCAGCTACTCAGGAGGCTGAGACAGGAGAATTGCTTGAATCAGGGAGTTGGAGGTTGCAGTGAGCTGAGATTGTGCCATTGCACTCCAGCCTGGCGACAGAGCAAGACTCTGTCTCAAAAAAAAAAAGTCAAAACAACAATGTGTGGGTGTCACGAAAGAGAGGGATAATGGCTATGTGGGAGGCTAGAGGAGAGGTTCCTGTCCTGGACTGGAAGGAGACGATAGAGCTGAATATTGCAGAGCTGGGAGGACTGGGCTTCACGAATGATGACATATATGAAGGAGAAGCAGTTTAGGGTGAAAATAAGTTTAGCCCTTAAACCACCCTCAAGATTCTATTTGGGGACATTTTATGTTTGTCCTCCACTGGCACAGAGCAAGCTCCCAATAATTACTAATTGAAAGAATGAGTAAGCAGCCGGCTAGAGCCGTCTAGCAGCCATGTGGGTACACAGAGGCTGGGGCTGAGGAGAGAGACGGGAGCCATCAGGCACACATGCCGGCTGGAATGTCCCTGTGAGGACTGTGTAGAGTAGGAAGAGCCTATGGCCTTGAACTGAACAGCAGCCAAAGGGCAGGCAAAGGGAACAGATCTGGAGAGGGAAGCAGGAGAGTCATAGGAGAAGGCAGCCCAAGAGAGGATTATCCCAGAAGCTGAACCAGGTGTCAGGAGGCCAGAGTCACTTATTGCCTCAAGACTGAACTAGGCTAACAGTGGTGCTGGAAGGCGAAAACCGATGGCAGTAAGTGAGGGTGGGTGGGGGTTTGTGTGTGTGTGTGTGTGTGTGTAAACAAGGATGACTGCTGAGAAGAGGCTGGCTGTGAAGGGTCACGGAGGGAGGACAGAGCACAGCGGTCTGAAGACATCCTCATCGCTGCAGGGTGAGCTTCCTTACATGACTCACAGCGCACAGTCACAAACCCTGCTCCCCAAAGCCATCTTCAAAACCATTTCTACCTCAGGGATTCTAAACCATGGCCACAGAGTTCGTAAGACATTTCCACATGATTCTGAGGCTACTGGAGGAGAGCAGGGTGGCTTCAACCCCTCCTTTAGGAGCATGTGCGGAAAACCCAACACCACTGAACTGAATTTATTGCTGTGGTTAATTTTCAATTCAAAGGCAAACCTGCAGCATAAAAATCATTTTAACACAGGAGTTGAAGAAGTCTATCCTTCTAAGGCTAGAATAATTTATTCATCAACCCCACCATTTAGATATACAAATATTACCCCTACCTCGAAGAGTTTGTTCCAGAGCCAGGATGAATTGGTAAAGACCCCAGTGGCACCTGACCCCAAAGCTACATCCATGGCACCTGCAAGACACAAGGCCTCAGGTCAAGTGCAGTCTCTCCAGGCAGAATGGGCTCTTGCCATGGAGATCCAAACAAACCTTAGTACTTACCCTATTTAGTGGCTTCCTCATTTTCAAAAATAGATAAGTTTAAAAAAATCTTTTCTGTGCATACTTAACATATTTTTATGTTTTTCAAGCTAGAATTCACTTAAATTATTGGAAACGCAAAAAAAAAAAAAAAAAAAAAAGAACCTACTGAATTTTACCAACAATTTCATTTTAGGGATAACTGTTATTTATTTTTCACATTTCCTTCCAGATCTCTAAATTTTTTTTTGAGAAACGTCTCACTGTCACCCAGGCTGCAGTGCGGTGGTGTGATCAGAGCTTACTACATGTAGCCTCAGACTCATGGGCTCAGGTGATCCTTCCGCCTCAGCCTCCTGAGTAGCTGGAATTACAGGTACACATCGCCATGGCCAGATAATTAAAAATTTCTTTTTGGTCTGGGCACGGTGGCTCACACCTGTAATCCCAGCACTTTGGGAGGCCAAGGCAGGCAGATTACCTGAGGTCAGGAGTTCGACACCAACCTGGCCAACATGGTGAAACCCCGTCTCTACTAAACATACAAAAATTAGCTGGGCATGGTGGCGCATGCCTGTAATCCCAGCTACTCAGGACACTGAGGCAGGGAGAATCACTAGAACTCAGGAGGCAGAGGTTGCAGTGCAGTGAGCCAACATAGTGCCATTGCACTCCAGCCTAGATGACAGAGTGAGACTCTGTCTAAAAAAAAAACATGTAGAGATGGGGTCTCATTATGTTGTTCACGCTGGTCTTGAACTCCTGGGCTCAAGTGTTCCTCCCATGTCAGCCTCCCAAGGCACTAGGATTACACGCATGAGCCATCACGCCCAGCCCAACTTCTACACTTTCATAAAAAACACTTAACACCATCCTATATATGCTCAAGCATGTGTTCTTCCTTTTATGCCTTAAAATTTTATTCCTCTTTGGCCAGGTGTGGTGGCTTACCCCTGTAATCCCAGCATTTTGGGAGGCTAAGATGGGGGGATCACTTGAGGTCAGGAGTTCAAGACCAGCCTGGCCAACATAATGAAACCCCATCTCTACTAAAAATACAAAAATCTGGGTGTGATGGCACACACTTGTAATCCCAGCTGCTTGAAAGGCTGAGGCAGAAGACTCACTTGAACCCAGGAGGCAGAGGTTGCAGTAAGCTGAGATCGTGCCACTGCACTCCAGCCTGGGCAAGAGAGTGAGCCTCTGTCTCAAAAAAAAGAAAAAAAAGTCCGGGTGTGGTGGCTCACGCCTGTAATCCAAGCACTTTGGAGGCCAAGGCAGGCAGATCACCTGAGGTTTGGAGTTCAAGACCAGCCTGACCAATATGGTGAAACCCTGTCTTAAAATTAAAAAAAAAAAAAAAAAAAAAAATTCCTCTTTTATAAACAAATGTTTGAAAGTATCTTTAATTATTTAAAAATAGTTGGGCCAGGTACAGTGGCTCAATCCTGTAATCCCAGCACTTTGGGAGGCTGAGGTAAATGGATCATGAGTTCAAGAGATCGAGATTACCCTGGCCAACATGATGAAACCCCATCTCTACTAAAAATACACAAATTGGCTGGGCATGGTGGCACGCGCCTGCAGTCCCAGCCACTCAAGAGGCTGAGGCAGGAGAATTGCTTGAACCGTGGAGGCAGAGGTTGCAGTAAGCTGAGACTGCACCACTGTACTCCAGCTTGGTGAGAGTAAGACTCTGTCTCAGAAAAAAAAAAGAAGTCCACCACATGGAGGTATCATAATTTATATACTACTGGCATTGAGGAGTCTAATTTGTCAGTAATTTTAATCACATCTCAGTAAGTATTGCTATAAGAATTCGATATCTGTTATGACTGCATCATATTTACTTGTTTCATCTTTAGTTTTTTTCCTCCAACAAAGTTGTGTCCCATTGGCTGACTTCTATTTTTACAATAATTAGCATATTTGTAAAAAATCAACTTAACAATGCAGATTTGCAGGTCCTCTTGAGAAGAGACAATCAGGTACGGCCACTTAGTGCTGCCTCCTTTCGCTGTGGTATTGGCTTCCAACAGTCTCGTTGGTTATCTGCCTGGCTCATTTGTAAGGAAGTCAAGTGGGCCCAGCAAGCACACTATCTGGCATAAAGGAGCTTAAGTATTTATTGAAAGGAAAAGCAAACCTTACTACCCTTCAGTACCGGGACCAGCACTGAACCCACCACCAATACCAGCACAGGCATATGAAATGTCAGAGGAGACAGCACTGAAACTGGGCTATGTCTTCACAAGGTGGCATTTCTTCCCTATAATGCAAAGTATGGCCAGGTTGCTCCTTAAATTCTTAACCATGTCTTTACATGAAACTGCTCATTAGCAACTCTCTCGAGGAAAACTGAAACTTGAAGCTACTACTAACTAGTCGACCCCGCATAGCCACGTGTTCTGCATCTAGGGATTCAACCAAATGCAGACAGAAAATATTTTTAAGGGAGGGAGATGGTTGCATGGGTACTAAAACATACAGACTTTTTTCTTCTTGTCGTTATTCCCTAAACAATACAGTGTAACAAATATTTACATAGCATTTACATTGCATTAAGTAGTGTAAGTAATCTAGAGATGACTTAAGTATACTGGAGAAAGTACACAGGTTATAGGTAAATACTACGCCATTTTACATACGGGATATGAGCATTGTGGGTTTGGTATCTGAGAGGGGATGCCAGAACCAGTCCCCCATGCATACTAAGGGACAACACATACATACCCATTAATACTTTACAAGTTAGTGGGTTTTACATAATTATTCACTTGTCCTCAAAATATTTCAGTCAACCCCATAAGAGTAATTTGTTAGTTTTAAAATTTGTCATAGAAAAGATGGATGATCCCCCTCAAACAAGAACATGCTACCTTTCCTTAAAGTATCAGAAAATGCAGACATAAATATTTAATTTGGTCCACTTGGGACCACGGCTGTAAAGATGATTTCATTATATATTTACATAGTTTATTTTCTATAATTCCAGAACTATTACCACCACCCATTTCAGAATGACTAGTAGCAGAGGCATACTCCCCATTTTCATTTATAAGGCACATGTGGAGCCCTGTGTTGTGATGCTCACTGATCGATGTTAACAGAATTGTTCATAATCTAGAAGAATCAAAGCCCCAAGGAAAGTGAGGATAGCACCACACTCCTTGAATCCTAAATTATGCCTATGCAGTAAGAAATTAAAGAGAAGCACCGTGATTGAACAGCCATCCCCGAATATGTCACTGTTCCTACAATCTGGAGTACGGCCTGTCTTTCAAAGGACACTAATATTTGTTCAGTGTCTGTGATATTCTGGGCCAGAGACATCAACCTGTATCATCTCATTTAATCTTCTCAGGAATCCTTCCTGTAAACAAAGTGCTATTATATCCCTTTTATGGATGAGAGAACTAAAGCCTAGTCCAAAGTCACATGCTATTAAAAAGTAGGACAAGTTTTAAAATCAGGTCTTTTATTTCTGAAGACTGTGTACTTCTTCCTATCAAGAGCCTGAGGTTAGAAACTGGTTCTTATTCTCCTCTTTGAACCTGACCTTCTGGAAATCAGAAGGGGCTCAGCAGTATTTAGGGAACCATCACCCAGCGTGGTCTGAAAGCTCACCCAGAAGGTCACCCTTGGTTACTAAGGGCCAACTTTCCTACCTTCTCAACCTCTCAGACTGAGAAAAAAAGTAGAGTAGGATGTATTTCTCAGGTGGTAATTACGAAAGTTATTTTTAAGTTGTAAAACTTGGATGTGTCTGATGTATCTATCCTCTGTGATTCCTCATTTACAGTGAGGGGGTACCCGCTTCACCACCACTGCCTCCCCGCCAACCCCCACCAGAGAACCTCTACTTTTCAGCTTAAAGTGTTTCCTAAACTGAATAGGGAGACCAAAAACCATGAAAACACTACAATGCCAGCTTTGAAAAAGAACTCTTGGCAATAGACCTGTGGACTATTTTTAGACCTATGTATAAAAGTGAACATGATTTCTGCTGAAGTAAAGGTTCAACATGATCAGGGCAAGAATAAAACCAAAGGATACAAAATGATCTAATTTTCCTCTTAAAAGAGGTAGAGTTTGACTTTAAGATTCAGAAATTAATTTTTTTTAAAAAGGGATAGAAGGCTGGGCGCAATGGCTCATGCCTGTAATCCCAGCACTATGAGAGGCCAGGGCAGGTGGATCATGAGGTCAGGAGTTGGAGGCCATCCTGGACAACATGGTGAAATCCCGTCTCTACTAAATATTCAAAAATTAGCTGGGCGTGGTGGTGCACACCTGTAATCCTAGCTACTCAGGTGGCTGAGGCAGGAGAATCACTTGAACCTGGGAGACAGAGATTATAGAGAGCTGAGATTATGCCACTGCACTCCAGCCTGGGTGGCAGAGTAAGACTCCATCTTAAAAAAAAAAAAAAAAAAAAAAAAAAAGGCAGGTAGAGTCGAGATGAATTACTAGAAGAGAACTTTTAGATGAAAGATTATGAACATTGCGATTTGGCAATAAGACAACACTTGTTTGTCTGTCATCCCTTTAGGAATTTACTCCCAGCCCTCCAGGGTTGATGGTGTCACAGCCTGTGTTAAAGAAGCTTTCCAAAAACTCCCTCTAGTCTTTACAACTCCTCCAGGCAAATGGAATTGTCCCCAAGTACCAATGCTCAAAAGGGCCAAGGAACTTGCCCACGGCTGACTGACTAGTAAGTGGCACAGATGGGAGTCCCACCTGAGCCTGGCCTTAAAGCTCAGGCTTCACACTGTGTCACTTCTGTTAAATGAGGATCTTGCTACCCTATAAAATGTGTTTATTATAAGATCAAGTATAAAAAGTTCTGGGGAAAACAAAAAAGAAAAGTTCTGAAAACTCAGAGGGCATCAGATACATTACGATTAGTTCAAAAAAGTAAAAGCTATTGATTTGTGAATTTATCATTAATCTTTTCAGATCTGTATTAAATGCTAATTGTAATAGAAACCATTTTTTTTTTTTAAGATAGAGTCTCACTCTGTCACCCAGACTGGAGTACAGTGGCCCAATCTTGGTTCACTGCAACCTCCACCTCTCAGGTTCAAGTGATTCTCCTGCCGCAGCCTCCTGGGTAGCTGGGATTACAGGTGCATGCCACCACACCCAGCTCATTTTTGAATTTTTAGTAGAAATGAGGTTTCACCATGTTAGCCAGGATGGTCTCGATCTCCTGACCTCGTGATCCGCCTGCCTCAGCCTCCCAAAGGGCTGGGATTACAGGACTGAGCCACTGCGCCCAGCTCGAAACCATCTCTTAACATCATTTTTCAATGTCACTTTAGATGAGCTCATCTGGCCCACTTGTTATTTCTTTTTTCAAAGGTGCAGCTCAGGCCAGGCACAGCGGCCCACGCCTGTAATCCCAACACTTTGGGAGGCCAAGACAGGTGGATCACCTGAGGTCAGAAGTTCAAGACCAGCCTGGCCAAATGGCAAAAACTCTGTACAAAAATTAGCTGGGCGTGATAGCAGGTGCCTGTAATTCCAGCTACTCAGAAGGCTGAGGCAGGAGAACTGCTTGAACCCAGGAGGCGGGGGTTGCAGTGAACCAAGATCGTGCCATCACACTCCAGCCTGGGCAAAAAGAGTGAAACTCTGTCTCAAAACAATACAAAAATTAGCCGGGCATGGTGATACACGCCTGTAATTCAAGCTACTTGGAAGGCTGAGGCATGAGAATTGCCTGAACCCAGGAGGCAGAGGTTGCAGTGAGCCAACATCACACCACTACACTCCAGCCTGGGTGACAGAGTGAGACTCCATCTCAAAAAAAAAAATAAAAAATAAAGGTACAGCCTGGAATGTTTTAAAACAACGAGCCTAATATTCAAAACAGTTTACAACTACAGACCAATTCCTCTGGTGAAAGATCTTTGAATGTGAATGGATGGAGCCAAATTTTGGCAAAATAATGCCCAGATTATAGTGTGTGAAACCCATACAACCAACAAGACTTCCTTCAAACAAAAACAAGGCAGGCGTGCGGTCTGACCTGTTAAGGTGGCGGCATTGAGGATGACCTTTGGGTTGAATGTGTGCGCGTAGCAGAGCGCGTCAGCCAGTATGAGCCTCCCCTCGGCATCAGTGTTATCAACCTGCAGAGCGTCAAAACAGAAAGGGTGACAGCATGGGTAATGGGAAAACTAGACATCTGCAACAGTGTTCGATGGAAAATTCGGAAAAAGCTACTGTGACGTGTGTCATTATCAAAGCCATTCATACACTTCAATGAGAACAGGAACGTATCTAATCTGGAGAGTAAATATGATTTAATAATCCCCCAGCACCTTGGGAGACAGAGGTGGGGAGATGGCTTGAGGCCTGGAGTTTGACACCAGCCTGAGCAAGATGGTGAAAACTCATCTTTAATTAAAAATTAGAAAATAATAATAATATAATAATCCCTGTGCAAGAGCTGATGACCTAAGGTTGATGACTTTGGAAGCCAAAATAAATAGAAAAATGTCTAGTGCATTTTACCCACAACTTCGTAACATGAAGGGGAAAAATGTAAAGATTTTTGAAAACAAGGTTTAAGAGTGTAAGAAAGCTACAGCTACATAGCAGTGTGAATCCTAGAAATGAGAACTCTTTAACTTCAGTAACACTTCCTAACTATATTCCCTTTTTTGTTGTTGTTTTTTTGAGACAGAGTCTCACTCTGTTGCCCAGGCTGGAGTGCAGTGGCGAGATCTCGTATCACTGTAACCTCTGCCTCCCGGGTTCAGGGTATTCTCCTGCCTCAGCCTCCCAAGTAGCTGAGACTACAGGCACATACTACCACACCCAGCTAATTTTTATATTTTTAGTACAGACGGGGTTTCACCATGTTAGCCAGGATGGTCTCGATCTCCTGACCTCATGATCCACCCGCCTTGGCCTCCCAAAGTGCTGGGACCCACGCCCGGCCTATATTCCCTTCTTTTAAATGGCGGTCCAGTCGTCATCGGCGGCTTGTATACACGTGCATGCACATGCCACCCGGAGGACCTGCTGCTACATCCCCTTGAATGCAGGGCCCATGATGTAAGACAGTTTTCTACGTCAATACCCAAAATGGAAAAGTCACTCATAGCACAGGTATATGCAGATGGCAGCCCACAGATTTACTGCTTTGCTGCACTCTGCAGGGCTGGATGCAAATTCATGGAAACGTGTGTGTACGGCATACAGGAAGTGGGAGGAACAATAAGTCTGGAAAAACATTCTTCAAAATCCCAAAAAGAGTTACTTCTGCCTTTGCAAGGAAAGCTACTCAGGGGCTGGGAATAGTGGCTCATGCCTGTAATCCTAGCACTGCGGAGGCCAAGGTGGGCTGATCGCTTGAGTCTAGGGCTTTGGGACTAGCCTAGGCAACATGGCAAAACCCTGTCTCTACAAAAAATACAAAAAATTAGCCAGGCATAGTGGCATGCACCTGTGGTCCCAGCCACTCAGGACGCTGAGGTGTGAGGATCACCTGAGCCTGGAGAGGACAAGGCTGCAGTGAGCCATGCTCACGCCACTGCATTACAGCCTGGGTGACACAGCGAGACCCTATTACAGGAAAGGAAAAGGAAAAGAAAGCCTACTCAGCACTAAAGACAGCACCCTCCCCTCATATGGTGCTGGGGCTTTGCACCCATCCAAGCTGTGGTCACGTGGCTACTGTGGGATTCCTGAGGAATGCCAGATGGGCAGTGCTGTGTAGTGCGTGTACAAACCTGTATGGTCTTCCCGTTCCTGGCTCTAACAACATCCCCTGGCTTGTTGGCCTTGCCGCTGGGCATATTTTCACAAAGAGGGGCCAGACCTATTGGAAAGAATATATGAAAGCACACAGTATATGCTGGGTCTAAACATGCCACTCCTGAGACAAGAGGCCACCTGTGAGGCATGAGAAGCAACACACAAAGGCCACTTTAACCAAGTGATCAAATTTAACATCACCAATGTCATAACTGACATTTTTTATCAGCAACAGGAAATATACATCGCCATGTAGCAGTCTTCCCAAAGAAGTCTAACTTGATTCTAATCGAGAAGAAGCAATTTAAATACAAGTTGCAGAATATCATGAAACAAACCTAGACCCTTCAACACTGCTAATGCCATGGAAGAAAATAGGAATAGGGTCTAGACTTGAGAAATCTAAAGGGACATGGCACCAAAGACAATGTTAGTTTCTGGATTTAAAAACTAAATGTAGGCAGGGCGCGGCGGCTCACACCTGTAATCCCAGTACTTTGGGAGGCTGAGGCTGGCAGATCACCTGAGGTCGGTAGTTTGAGACCAGCCTGATCAACATGGAGAAACCCCATCTCTACTAAAAATACAAAATTAGCCGAGCATGGTGGTGCATGACTGTAATTCTAGATACTTGGGAGGATGAGCCAGAATTGCTTGAACCTAGGAGGCAGAGGTTGTAGTGAGCTGAGATTGCGCCATTGCATTCTAGCCTGGGCAACAAAAGCAAAACTCCATCTCAAAAAAAAAAAAAACAAACAAACTAAATATAAGTAAGTAAAATGGACATTTTTTACACAACCGGAAAGAATTAGGTTACTGCATTAATCCTTGGAAAAGATAATGGTTTTGTCATTACATAGAATGTCCTTTTCCTTAGAGGACATGTCATGGTGTCTGCAACTGACTTTTAAATAGTTCAGAAAACAAAAGGGCTATGAGAGTGAAGGAGGGGGTTATCTCTGACAGGCCTGGATTCTAATCCACCTTCCTTGTGCAATGGACATGACATTGGGCACTGTCATGTAACCTAAGACTCTCTCCTCCTTCCCCGTCTCCTCTGAAATGAGTGCGAGCAATGCTATTATACAAACTCCCAGCACCGTGCCTGGGAGTTTGCATCCTCTATTACTAAGAACTGCCAAATAATGAACACTTTTTCTGTCCCAGGAGCTGTCTGTGTGTTGCATCATTTTACTGGCCACAATCCTACAAGGCAATCAGTCAACGAGCCACAGCGTCCTTCCACCCCAACTACCAGGCAAAATTCATAATGTCAGCTACAAACCTGACATTGTGCTCCTGACTGCTAACCACTTTTTGCGGAAGTAAAGCAAATCAATTCCAGTTACAGCCCACTGGTTGCAAGATACATTTAGCTCAATTAGCTCAGACAGTAAAACACTTATCTGAGCTAAATAGCTTCTGCTTGATAACTATTTAAAAATCATTTCTTATCTTTTCAGATTAGGGGCATCATGTCTGTTGTTTCTGTCCTCCTATCTGTCTGGAATCCAGAAGCTCTCTGAGATGTAATCCCTTGCTCCACTTACCTATAATATTAATGGGCAAATTGAGCTTTGCAGCAGACACAATGGCTGAGCATATAGTTGCAGCTCCTCCCATGTCAGCCCTCATGAGGTCCATATTTGCAGAAGCCTTGATGGAGATACCACCACTATGGGGAAATGGACAATGTGCAATATTAATAGCAAAGAAGATGGCCAAAATCACTTTATTTAAAAAGTACATTAACTGAGGGTTAACAATCACATAAAAGCACCATATAATGCTGGTTGCAGTGAGCTGAGATTGCGCCACTGCACTGCAGCCTAGGCAACGCAGCAAGACTCCGTCTCTAAAAAAAAAAAAAGTTTAGGCTGGGTATGGTGGCTCACACCTGTAAGTCTAGCACTCTGGGGGGCCAAGTGAAACACCGTTCCTACTAAAAATGCTAAAATCAGCTGGGAGTGGTAGTACATGCCTGTAATCCCAGCTATTCGGGAGGCTGAGGCGGGAGAATTGCTTGAAGCTGGGAGGCAGAGGTTGCAGTGAGCCAAGATCACGCCACTGCACTCCAGCCCGGCAACAGAGTGAGACCCTATCTACAAAAAAAAAAAAAAAAAAGGCTACTTAGCAAAGAAAACTAGGTTGGAGAAGCACATGAAGGGTTTTATTTTCATTTCATTTGCTTAACTACAGGACTTCTCAGGGTACAGAATGTAGCATTTTCTGTATTTCCTTTTGAAGGAGCCCTGATTCCTGGGAATCATGTTACCTGGAAACTACTTTGGAAAATGCCGCTAGAGAACCATAAGATGTTGATGTCCTCTTGTTCATTTTTGCGCCCTCTCCAGAATGCTTCCAGACATGGGAAGACCCTGTCAGTGGCATGCTTGCTGGCAGTGTGGTCTCCGTACATTAGCAGGTCAAAGTGCCTCCTTGTGTCTTCCACCCACTAGTTCATGTTTTTGCCTTTAAAACACTTATCTCCAAATGATTTTCCTGGTAGAGCCTATCAGTAAAAGATTTCGAGCACATCCCTTTCAAAATATGCATGCTTTTTTATAAGTTATGAGCATTAGACTATTGTACTAAAGTGTATATTATAAAAACAATATAGCAAATAAAATTTAGAAAGTTAAACTGACTTCTGACTTGTGGGTTTGTTTTTTTTTTTAGTAGAGAGGAGGTCTCTTGACCTTATGATCCGCCTGCCTTGGCCTCCCAAAGTGCTGGGATTACAGGCATAAGCCACCACGCCCAGCCTGCTAAGTAGCCCTTTTTACGCCTCATACTCACTGGCATCCCTGAAACTTTTTTTCTGGTGGCAAATGCTTCCCATGGGAAATACTGAACTCCTTTCCCAGTTCAGCCTCTCCTTAGTTGAAATAACCAGATACAGTTTCCAACTCCATAAGAAATACTTATGGTTTAATAAGATTAATGGGAGCTAGACTGGTCAGCTATAAGAAGTAATAATCTGAAGCAAGCATAGGGAAGACAGCATAATCCAAACAAGAGCATCACCACCAACCTCATGGAGAATCTTTAACAGCCACAGAGGACAAACAAAGTGCTTGGCAGAAAAATTTGAAGACATTTTAGGGAGAGCACAGTGGCTCACACCTGTAACCCCAGCACTTTGGGAGGCTGAGGTAGGAAGACTGCTTGAGACAGAAGTTTATGACCAGCCTGGGCAATGAATGTCATGAGACCTCATCTCCATATTTAAAAAAAAAAAGGACACACCTCAGTTTGACTTCTGACTCCACTTATTACTTATGGGACTTTGAACAAATTATTTAAACTTTGGGTCATGGTCTCCTTACCTGTAAAATGTCTACAATACCTAGCCCACAGGGGTATAGTTATGGCTAATACATGCAAAATACCTGATCGTCTCTGACATATACTAAGCATTTTACAGGTGGTAGCTTAATAAGTTTAAAGTAATGTATACCTTCAACTGAACACCATGCTTTTGAATCAAACTGTAAACCAGCCCAGCGCAGTGGCTCATGCCTGTAATCCCAGCATTTTGGGGGCTGAGGTGGGTGAATCACTTGAGGCCAGGAGTTCGAGACCAGCCTGGCCAACATGGCGAAAACCCATCTCTACTAAAAATACAAAAATTAGCTGGGTGTGGTGGCGCACGCCTGTAATCCCAGCTACTCAGGAGGCTGAGGCACAAGGATTGCTTGAGACTGGGAGGCAGAGGCTGCAGTCAGCTGAGATGGTGACACTGCACTCTAGCCTGGGTGACAGAGAGAGACTCTGTCTCAAACAAACAAAAAAACAAACACAATCAAACAAAAAACACCCCTATAAACCAAGTAATTTAACTGAATACAAGCAATTCACCAAAATACAAAGCACAAACACCATAAAAAAATACCTGTCAAAGGTAATTCCTTTCCCAACAAACACCAGGGGTGGTTCATTTGCATTGGGGCTGCCTTTGTAGTGAATTTCCAAGAAGACTGGGGGCTCGTCAGATCCTTTGGCCACACTGAGGAACGATCCCATTGCCTGTTCCTCAATCCAAGACTTCGGTCTATAGGGCAGAAAGAGGGAAAAAGTAAATATACTGTTACCTTTATTTCAAAATAAGAGAAAAAGCTCATCACAGTGTGTAAAAAAGTATAATATACAAGCTCTTAAAGTATACACGCATTAAGTTTCAATAATCAGGTCCCATTATTTACTTTTTGTATATTCTTGGGCAAGTCACTTGATTCTGAGCCTATTTCCTCATCTATAAAATGAGGTCTATAACTCTTCCACCAAAAGATTATAGAGTTACTAAGAGAAGTCGTGTGGCACCTAATACAATGTCGACTAACAGTCTATAGTATATGTAATTAATCTCCTCCCTCCCTAATAGTGTCAACTAATAGTCTATAGTTTATGTAATTAATTTCCTCCCTCCCTAATAGTGTCAACTAATAGTCTATAGTTTATGTAATTAATTTCCTCCCTCCCTAATACAATGTCAACTAATAGTCTATGGTCTGTATAATTAATTTTTCCCCTCCTATCTACTCAGATATTTCTACAATTTTAATTTAAAGATGAAGTTAGAAGGCCAGGTGTGGTGGCTTATGCCTGTAATCCCAGCACTTTGGGAGGCCGAGGCACGAGAATTGCTTCAGCTCAGGATTTTGAGACCAGCCTGGGCAAAAAAGTGAAACTATCTCTAAAACAAATAAGGTAAGATATAATAAAGATGAAATTAGAGGCCAATGCAGGAGGATTACTTGAGGATAGGAATTTGAGACCAGAAAAAATCAGCCAGGCATATTGCTGCATGTGCGGCTGTCCTAGCTACTCCAGAAGCTAAGACAGGAGGATCACTTGAGCCCTGGAGGTCAAGGCTGCAGTGGGCTACGATCTTACCACCGCACTCAACCTGGGCAACATAGCAACACCCTGTCTCTTAAAAAAATAAAATTAACAATAGGCTCTGAGACCACAAAGAGTGCTTAAAGATAGGTAAGGGGTCCACTGCTTTATTTCTAAAAATCACACACTCACAAAAAAAATCAGTCAACAAACAGCAAACGAAAGCTATATTCTAATGACTGGAAAAAATATCCTATTTATCTGCTTTTTTAGAAGTGCTGAATTCTATCTTTCTAATGTTGTCACACACCATTTTGCACAGTTCCAACTGTAGCTTGAGGCATCTTTAAGTGAGAAAACTAGTTAGTTCTTCCTTGATAAACATGGGATCAGTGGGGTAACAGAATGGAAACAGTCCTTAGTGCAAACTAGAAAACTGAGGCCGTATTACTCTTCTTTCTAGGCTGGGGGCACAAAAGGGCTCTGTATGGATTTCTGGCCGTGGTAACGAGGCCAAGAGGGAAATCCTATACTCCCGCAGACCAGCGACAACCATAGCCAAGGAATGCTCGCTCCTCCAGCACTTATTTGTTAAAATAATTAAACTAGGACTGCATCATGGTGGGATGACCAGCATACTTCAAAGGGGAAAAAAAATTAAATTGGAAGATAAAACAGTTTCAAAAATCACTTCAAAAAAAAAAAAAACAAAGCTGTGCAATGTGGGCATATTAAATCAGAAACTCAGCACCCAATATGTGATTAAAGACCTGCCCTGTGGAAGAACTGCCTGTGTTTCCTTCATACACACCCGCCTACACTGGAGAGGGCTTAGTGCAGCGATGCCTCAGTTTAACGAGTCATATCCCACCCATGTGTCCTGCCTGGTCTCTGCTGAACTCTTTTCCCTTTGCTCAGCTCAACTTCCTCATCTGAACTGCCCTGCCCCACTCTCCCGTCCTGTAACTTCTACGCAACCTGCAGGACTCTGCCTTAGGCTTCATAGCTTTTTTTTTTTTTTTGAGAGACAGTCTTATTCTGTCACCCAGGCTGGAGTACAGGGGTATGATCTTGGCTCATTGCAACTTCCACCTCCCAGGTTCAAGTGATTCTTGTGCCTCAGCTTCCCAAGTAGCTGGAATTCAGGAATGCACCACCACGCCTGGCTAAGTTTTATATTTTCAGTAGAGATGGGGTTTTGCCATGTTAGCCAGGCTGGTCTCAAACTCCTGACCTCAAGTGATCCACCTGACTTGGCCTCCCAAAGCGCTAAGATTATAGGCATGAGCCACCACGCCTGGCCTAGACTCCATATTCTTTTTTAATTTTTATTTTAGAGACAGTTCTTGCTATGTTCCCCAGGCTGGCCTTGAACTTCTGGACTTGATTGGTTCTCCTGCCTGCTTCTTGAGTAGCTGCAAATAGAGGCGGGCACAATTGTGGCAGCAGCTCCACATTCTTTGGCAATCCCCCTCGTCCCTCTGCAAACCCCATTTACTTGCCTATTCCTTCTTATAACATCCTCGCTTCCTTCAAGGACAAGGACTGCTGTCATGCATTTGTATGACAGATCCCAGGCACACCAGAGCTGTCCTAACCACTATTTGCTGACCACAAAGTAGCTCTGGTGCTTTCTCAGATAAGGAAGAGTCTCTACCAAAGATATCTTATAGAACCTAAATATTGCTACGGATTAAACATATACTAACCATTCCAGAAATTTTATCAAGCTGCAAGTACTATGCTTTCTATAGACTATAAATCTTTCTTCACTCTCTCTAAACCGTAGGTGCTTTCCTGAAAAAACATTAACTCTAATCACAATTAAATACTAAAGAATTCTTTTAGCAAGGTGCAGTGGCTCATGCCTATAATCCCAGCACTTTGAGAGGCTGAGGTAGGCGGATCACCTGAAGTCAGGAGTTCAAGACCAGTGTGACCAACATGAAGAAACCCTGTCTTTACTTAAATAATAATAATAAAAAAAAACACAACAGGCGGGTGTGGTGGCACATGCCTGTAATTCCAGCTACTCAGGAGGGCTGAAGCAGGAGGTTCACTTGAACCCAGGAGGCGGAGCCTGCAGTGAGCCGAGACTGTGCCATTGTACTCCAGCCTGGGCAACAAAAGAGAAACTCCATTGAAAAAAAAAAAATTTTAATGGAACTACCCTTGGGAAACAACTTTGACAAGAATTCTTTAGGTCAAACAAATACCTGTTCATTTGTTTTAACCATAAATTCCCAAACTCTCTGAGTTGATTTGCTTAAGGGGTTGGAGATCCCAAGAGAGCGATAGACTTGGATGGGGGGCCTTTCAGCTCCAACAGTCTCCCACTGACACAGCACTCAGGGCTGCCTGGGAGCAGCAATACTGGAGTCTAGCTAAGGGAATCTATGTGGCAGAAATTCTCATCCCATGCCTAGTTAGGCATGCTGTGTTCTTCATTTGTATACAAAAGTAAAGACAGAAAGAATTCACCAAAATAAACCATGTTAAGTTTCTCAAAAAATTAAACAGAACTACCATTTGAGTCAGCAATTCAACTCCTAGGCATATACCAAAAAGAAATAAAAGTATGTTCACACAATAACTTGTATACAATGCCCACAGCAGCATTATTCATAGTATCCAAAAAACAACTGAAGTGTCCATCCCTGATGGTTTCAGAAAATGGGAAACAGGGAGTAAGTGCTAATGGGTACAAGGTTTCTTTTGGGGGTTATGAAAATGTTCTAAAATTGACTGTGGTCATGGTAGCACAATTCTGTGAATATTCTAGATATCAGGCCAGGCACGGGAGCTCATGCCTATAATCCCAGAACTTTAGGAGGCCAAGGTGGGAAGACTGCTTCAGCCCAGGAGTTCAAGAACAGCCTGGGCAACATGGCAGGACCCATCCCTACCATAATTAAGAAATTAGCTGGGCATGATGGCACAAACCTGTAATCCCAGCTATTCAGGAGGCTAGGGTGGGAGGCTTGAGCCCAGGAGTTTGAGCCCATTCATGCCACTGCCCTCTGGCCTGGGCAAAAGAGCAAGACCCTGTCTCAAAAAAAAAAAAAAAATCATTGAACTGCACACTTTGCATTGGTGAACTGTATGGTATGTTAACTGTATTCAAATAACATGGTTATGAAACACACATGTACACAGCATACCATGACACTCTCTCTCAAAGGCAAGGATAGAAAGAACCTCACTCAGCTCTATTCCAGCTCCCGTGTGGCCTCCGGCCGGTCATCTCAAATCTTTGGTCTCAAGTTATTCCTCTAAATAGTGAGGGAGCTGGATTTTAGGATCCCAAAGAGTCCTTCTGGCTATAACATCCCAAGTCTGTGACACAATCCTGAATTACCTAATATGGACCTCGGTTTTACTACTAGCACTCTTGAGATTCTTCTCAATAATTTCAGCAAATCTGGTTGGCGTCATCTCGTTGGCTGGTGTCTCCATCAACTGGCGTGCCAAGTTCTGCCCAGAAGCAAACAGGACTCCTTTCTGCCAGGCCTCGTGATCCCCACTGGCAGAAGAAAGACAGAGTGACTGTCAACCAACCTCTCAAGAACTCTGACCACCTGGCAACTAGGAGACACTCTTAGCTTACAGAAAATAAAAGAGGAAGACTACAAACCAAAAACAATTGGCACACAGGACCTGGATTCATTTTTTGTGATCTGACCCAGGGCAGCAGACGGACGCTATGATGCAAAGAGCCAGAAAACATGGCCACATGGAGCAGAACCAGAGGGTACCTGGTCAGGCACTTCCCTTCAGAATCCTCAAATTGCATTAAAAAAGGGCCTGTGCTGTGGAGTCTTTTAAGCTCTAAATCTACCACATAAATGAAGGGAAGAGGCTTCCACAGAAAGGCCCGTTTTGTTCTCCTTCACTGTATCAGGAATGGCGCAGCCCCAGGTGCTAACTGCAGAGCAAGCGTATTAACAATGGCTCTAATGTGGCACTGAAGACCTTTCTTTCTTCTTTTACCTAAGTTGGGACTGCAAATTCCAACCCATCCATAAGCAGGGTCAGCTTTAGAAGAGAAAGGATACAGGCACCCTGGCTCTTCCTGTGGCAGCATGGAGATGGGTACATAACAGTAGATGGCCTGGAAGGCCTGCCAGGTGCCCCCCACTTGATGTGCTCTTTTGGGTGATGACACAAACCCTATGGAATCAGTATTACAACTCTACTAAGCAAATGCAGAAAATGAAGCACAGAGATTTCAGTCACATAACCAGCAAGGTCCCCCAACGAGTAAGTGGTGGAGCCAGGACTTAAGCCCATGCTGACTGGCTGCAGAGCCCGCACTCTCCCCCACTCCCCACAGCTGCCAACCCTCGGGTGGTGCTAGGCCACTGGAGCAGAACCAGAGGGTACCTGGTCAGGCACTTCCCTTCAGAATCCTCAAATTGCATAAAAAAGGGCCTGTGCTGTGGAGTCTTTTAAGCTCTAAATCTACCACATAAATGAAGGGAAGAGGCTTCCACACTGTGCTTGGCACCATCTGCTGAAGGTCTCATCCGGTTTATTCCTGATGGCAGGGACCTCATCTCCCAAAACCTGGAATAAGGCTGGCATGTAACAGGTACTCAATGATCTGCCTACAGATGGGTCCTCCCACAAGGGCAAGGACCAAGCACCCAGAGGACCTCTTCATCTGTGTGACGCCTGCGTTTAGCACAAGGCCAGCAGGTGCCAGTTAAATGAACACATCTGGGTTGAAACCTGTGGGACATGTCTGTCATGTCATTCCTCCATCTCAGGGAAGAACTACGTGGTATGGCTTCCCTGTAAACAGCAAACAAGGTGGGGTCAGGGAGTCATGGGGAAAACAGGCACATGCGGAGAGCCAGGAGCAGAGCTTGGGCTTGTGACCACATTATTAAAATGGCTGAGGCAATGGGGAGGTCCCAGCCAAGCCATGCAGCAGTGCGGGGTGCTGAAAAGCAGGCAGCTCATATCCCAAAGGCCAGGCTGTCAGAATGCAGAATGCCAGGGAGGACCACCCTCCTCCTAATTTTCTTCCATCACCTTCCATAGAGCTTCGCCGACACGGCCATCTTCTTTTTTTGCTTTAGGTCATCATATTCATAGAGACCAAGCACGGCTCCCTCTGCAGCAGCCTGAGCATCTCCACAGGGATCCACCTCCACGGAAGAGAGCTCCAGGTCTTGAATCTGCCTGCACCCCGCTTGAAAGGACAGAGGAATCGGAAAACTGGAGTCAGTCCAAGACAACTGGAATAGCAGACAGCAGAGGAATGGTGTGGTGTGCTGACAACACAGCGGGGGTTCAAATCCAGCCCTGATACCCAACTGTTCTGAACCTTGTTTCCTCTTCTATAAAATGAGGGTGTGAGTGCATTTTACAGAATACCTCACTCCTAGGTGGTGGTAAGGACAGGCTGAAGGAGAGAATGAATAGCTCCTCACAGAGCAGTATAGGCTCTCATCATGTGGCAATTATTCCTAGGATAATTTCTGAAACACTATGATTTCCTGATGAAGCTTCCCAATTGCCAAGAGCTTCTCACATTAAAAATGACAGGGAAATGATGATGCTGAAATTATGGACAAGGAACTGAACAAAGTCTACTTATTAACATGGCATGTTATAAAGACCAGGTCAGCAAAAACTCCCAAATAGAAGTTACTAAATAACCACTTCAATGAGCTTTGAAAGTAAAGTTAATGAGCATTTATAACAGATACAGGCATAAAGAGTAATCAAGGCGATTATCACTGTTTCAGAAATGTCTTCCAAAGCATTTTTAATCACAGCTCTCCTCAGTATTAGGCCCATCCTGCTGCTTAAGGCTAAGTGACTCAATGGCGTTTGCCTGGGACACACTGGTAAGGGCACACGCCTTTGGCTAGTGATAGACAAGCATGCCACACTTTGCTTCCTTACTCTCCTTATTCGTAAAATCTGATGACTCTGTGTTATTTAAAAGTCAGGCAACACCAGGATGGCATTACAAAAAATCTACACGCTAGTTTCTGGTAGAACACAGCTCTAAAACTACAAGAGCAAACACATGGTAGTAAAACACCGAAATAAGGTGTGGATAGATTAAAATTAAAATTCCATGAGCTAATCTATATTTATCATAAGGCCAAGCATATTCAGTAAGAGGAACTGAATTTTTGTTAAGATGAATGATTTCTGTGTGAATGTGGTAAGGGGAGGGCGGTTGGTAGAAGGACACAAAGGGGGAAAGAGAGGTCATCATAAACAGTGGATCCTCAGGATTCTTTAAACTTAAAAGTGAAATAACCTGCAATGGCAGCTCTGATGTTTTCTTTGCCTTCATGCCAGTTTTCCTGTTCGTCGATCCCAGCTGCCTTTTTGCCGAGGCCAACTAGCACCACGCTTGGGAAGTCCTGTCCCACAGAGAACACCAAATCAACCACTTTGTTTCTTTCAGGAGTCCTTTCCAGCAGGGAATTCTACATGTGGAAACTCACTGAGGTCCCACACAATTACTTTAACCACAGCAACAGGGCTAAACTCACGGTGAAATTTGGTTTTGTTTTTTCTTTCCTTTAAGCCCTTGTATCCTGGCGAAATTTTATAACTTCTATGTTTTAGAGGCAGAGTGACTGAGGATACTATTGCAAATAATTCTATGTAAGCCAGAGCCACAACCGGATAAAGAAAGCCTTCAGATTGAGGAATATAGGATATGCAGTATTTTTTATAGCAATTCACCTCTTAATCTTAAATACTTCTGCTTAATACTGGAAAAATCATAAAATCTAACACAAAATGTTTAGTATGACTAGAGAGCCACAATACTTGGTATACAGTAGGTGCTCACTGAGAGTTTACCAAATAATCATGTTCATTTCATACCTGATGCAGACCATAAAAGGTTCGAGTCTTGCCTGCCTTCAGAGGTGGGCCAGATCTGAAACAAGAGGGAAGAGCCGTTTTAAAACAAGTAGTTTTCTCGGCTCGCTTGGGAAGGGACACTTACATACTCAGCATTATCACCCTATTCTGCTAACTGCTTCTGCAGTCTTGCTTCACTTATGTTTTTATCCAAATACAGAATACTCTCAAGTCAGATGTCTTTCTTTAAAAAAAAAAAAAAAAAACAGAGACAGAGTCTCACTATGTTGCCTAGATTGGTCTTGAACTCCTGGGCTCAAGCAATCCTCCCACCTTGGCCTCCCAAAGTGCTGAGATTACAGGTATAATACAGATTACACTGCTGATCTACTGAGCGCAGCTCAGATTCCTTAGGCATGGCCTTTCTAATTCTAGCTCAAAAACTATTTAGCAAACTTTCAGATTAGATCTAATACAAACGTATTTGAAAACAACAGTGGAACACAATGCCACGGCTATACAAAGTCATCTGAGCACAGACTGACGCTGAATCGAATGAATCTCAAACCTTTTCAATAAAAGACACAAGACACCAAAAACGCAGTAATCTAAGTGGTGTTTGGCTTGGAGGTTGTCTTTGTGGTTTCTCTACAGAGCGGATACCAGACACCGGATACTGCCAATCCAGGGCAATTTCCAAACAAAACAGATCCATGACTATAAGAGGCCCGGAACAAAGAAGCTCTGGAATGCAGCTGACAGCGATCCATTAAGGAAGGCAGGTTAGCTTTTGGATGAATGAATTAATCAATGCACTTGAGAATGTTCTACAGGTACTGCTGATGAAGAACTCATAGTTGAGAGGATACACAAATCCTCTTTTCTGATGATTAGATAGCTATTAGACTCTAATAGGCTATGTATCATCCGAATAATACACAGTTGCAGTGGTTTACGTGGATACTTCTATGTCTGCCAAAAACAGCCTGCAGTTACAATGTTTCCCTACTGTCAGGATTTGCAGCCCCATGGAGACTTTTGGCATTTTGGTGATTCACAGGTATTTTAGATTTTAAGAAGCCCTTGAAACTCCAGGCATGCAATAAGCAGCAGAACACTTCGGCTGCTTTTAACTGTCCAAGGGATACTGCTGTCTCTCACAGAGAAAAGGGGAGTTTAACAAGGTAGAGGGGCTGGTGGGAAGGCAATGGGGAAAGTTAATTTGAGCCAGGAGGTTAGGCTGAAGAAATCTGGTACTTTCCAGATTCTTCTGGATCAGTCTTTCACAATAGATTTATGATTGCGCTGGAAATGGCCTGACTTCCCAAAACTGCAGACCCACCCATACTGAAACACAAAGTACCAAAGTGCATTCCAGAGACACATGCTTTTTCACTTCTGCTCTGGCCAGAGCACTTCCCAGCATTGTCTCTTCTGACAGAAAGGCATAGAAAAGTATTCTTGTCCTGGCACAGTGGCTCACAGCTGTAATCCCAGCACTTTAAGAGGCGGAGGTAGGCAGACCACTTTGAGGCCAGAAGTTCAAGACAAACCTGGCCAACAATGGTGAAACCCCATCTCTACTAAAAGAAAAAAAAAATTAGCTGGGAATGGTAGGCATGCCTGTGATCCCAGCTATTTGGGTGTCTGAGGCAGGAGAACCACTTGAATCCAGGAAGCAGAGGTTGCAGTGAATTGAGATCATGCCACTGCCCTCCAGCCTGGGCAACAGAGCAAGACTCTGTTTCAAAAAAAAGAGAAGAAAAAATAATTGTTTCAATTTGGGGGCACTTTAAGAACTGTAAGCACTGGAGCACACAAGCAACACTTACATTTTCAAAGTCTCTCTCAGCTTTCCAGCTATCAATTTATCAAAATTCTCTCCTGCACTTGTGAACTGTGGCACATCGTCTTCTTTTTCTTTGGAATAGATTCCTAAAACAAGACCCTGTGAATGAGCAAAAAATATAAATATAATAGAATTAAAGTAGATCCCTTAGAGAGGCTCAGGAGTCCCCAAATTTCAGGAGGAACAAATAATTCCACCCAAACTGTGTCCTCCCTAAGGGCAGAAGAAAGCCAAAATATAAGCAGGTGCTGGGGTCAGTTACATGTGCACCTGCTGAAGAGTTTCAGATTCTTGCCAAAGCAAGACCCATAGCTACCCACACTGGACCTTGCCCTGGGTTTCTGTACTCACTGCCAGGAGATAGCTTCACTTTCATATAAAGTAGAAAGATGTTTTGTTTAAGAAAAATCCATTTGTCACCAAGTTATATCCTGAAAAAATTCAGAACATGCCCCTCCAAAATAGACCACTTTGGCACATTGATTATTTTGAGCATAAGGTGCTTGAGAAACAGCAAGTGCAGAAGGGCTCTCTGACCTCCCATTCTCCCTAAAAGCAGGTCATACAAATTCCCGTGAGAAAGGTGCTCTCCCTGTACCAGGAAGAGAACATTCTTATCACCAGAAACTGGAAGTAAACACCAAAATGGACCTGTACAAACAAACCTACTGAACTTACCCTTATCTTCTATAAGTTACCCCATATATTTTTCCTAGTCATTATTCCACAATTTAGTAGCCCTAACCCAAACCCCTGTGTCTTGTCACATCCCCACAAGGTATTGTTCTTTGTTTAAAAAGGATTACAAGCTTTTGGGCCCAATGCTTCTTCAGGTCTTCATTTTCCTCTTGCAGACTCCTGTGTAGATGTAAACACAGCAAATAGAAATCTCTATCCTTTTCTCCTGTTAATACATCTTATTTCAGTTTCTGTAGGCCCAGTCACAGAACCTAGGAGGGTAGAAGGAAGATTTTCCTCCCCTACAATCCTCAAGTGCAAATCCCGGATATTTTAGGATGCTGCTCCCATCAAGCCAATGGCCGTGCCTGCCATCATAAGGACTGTTGCCACATAAGAGCTGTGGTCAACTCAGAGGCTGAAAGAGAAGTACCAACTTCCCAGGGAGGGGTAAAAGCATTCTGCTAAGCACTTAGCGGCTCTCAGCACTTAGTAGCTCACTCCCTTCATCTCCTTCACAAGCCCCAGGTCTCAAATACCAGAAATGAGAAAGCAAACCCAGTAATACTTAGTATTTACTTTTGCACGGCAATTTATGACTTTAAAAATGTTTTGTCTGCCTCATGGCGACTCTGTGAGGTGGAAAGAACATGTAGTCTTATTCCCCCTTGATCGATAAGGAAACTGAAACCTACTTTGACACAGGAGCTCCTGTGCAGTAGGGCTGAGTGAGAATCCAGATGTCTCCACGTCCAGCAGTTGGTCTTTCCACAAAACCACACAGACACTTAGAATAATGCCCTCTCTGTCTTTTCCACCGAGGAAAACAAGATTCCTTTGCCAGGTTCTAACTTTCTTAAGATGGTTCACTCCGCGGGAATCAATGGATCTACCTGGGAAGCTGTCATCTAGGGAGGCTGTGGCACAGCACTGGAGACAACACTGGTCAGCCGACTGATCCCTCCGCCACTGCAGTGCCTGCAGGAGATCGGAGCTCAAGCTCCACCTAGAACATTCTTCTGCAGGGACAGTCAACTCTTTCTGGTGCTCAGGCATGACTCTCAAGCATATGCTGGTTCCAAGAGCCATTCCCTCTCCAGATCCTTCACATCTGAAGAGAGACCTTCCACATTTTCTGGAGTTCACTTTTCTCTGTTAGATGCTTTAATCCTGGGAAACGTGGGTCTCTCAGCAGAGCCCTTTTCTCTAGAGAGTCATGCTTTTCCTCTAGAAACTCTTCCAAGCCACTTACTCCCTGATCTTTCACTTCCGCTGGGGAAGGAGCCCTGTGACTCTGGGGCCTCAGAAAACCTTTCACCTTGCCAAACTCGGGCTTCCTCCAAGAGCTCGGGTGGGAGCCCCATCGCCGCGTCCTTCCCCACGTTACTACGAGGACCGCGGGTGACGACTGGAGCAAGGGCGCGCCGAGCGGAGCCGGCTAAAGAGCGGCTACAGCCTTTACTACTTCGCCCCGAGCAGGGGAAGCGCGCCCTCCACACGACCAATGGGGTCCTCAGCGGCCTAGGCCGATCCCCGCAAGGAGAGAATTTGTCTTTTTAACTGGTTTTTGCAACTTGGCGTGGACACCCGGAAACCACGGCTTCGACCCGCCCCGCTGCCCCAGTCGCCCCCGGGCAGGGCCCCAGTGGCGGACCGGGAGCGAGCCGTCGCCTCTCACCTTCGTCATGTCTGCGGCGGAGAGACCCCAGCTCCCGAAATGTCTCACGGCCAGACGTCGGACGACTACTCGCCCGGCAGCCGGAAGAGGCAGCAAGAACATCTTGTCGGCTCGGCCCCTCGCGCCGCCCTCCAGCAAGCACGTGGCGCGCGGTAGGCGGGCGCGCGCCTGGAGGGGCGAGGCTTTGGGGGTGCGGCCGGCGCGCGCGCGAGGACTGGCTTGGGAGCGGAGCGAGCGGACGTGCGTCTAGAGGGCGGGGCGGACGGGCAGCACCTGTGACTGGACTGTTGGGACCATCCCGCCGCTGTGGTGGGGGCTCAGGGGTGTGCCCGATCCGTGTGCGCGTGCGCTTGCGCTTGTGGGCGGGGGCGAAGAGGCGGGGCTTCCGGACGTGGTTTGACAGTCCCGGGACACACGCGAAGTAGAGGGGCGGGGCCTGCAGGTGACGTCATAAGATGGGTGGAGAGGAGGCGGGGCGAGCTCTGCCAAGCGGACGTGGGCGGAGCGCTGGGCAACTCCCGGGAATAGAAACTGATTGCCAGAGCTTGTTGTCAAGATTGCTGAATAGACGACTGCATAGTGAAGACACTCCCACTAAGCTTTTTTTGGTTTTTTTTTTTTTTTTTTGAGACGGAGTTTCGCCCTGTAGCCCAGCCTGGAGTGCAATGGCGCGATCCCGGCTCACTGCAACCTCCGCCTCCCGGGTTCAAACGATTCTCCTACCACAGCCTCCCGAGTAGCTGGAATTACAGGCGCCTACCACCACGCCCAGCTAATTTTTATATTTTTAGTAGAGACGGAGTTTCACAGTGTTGGCCAGGCTGATCTCGAACTCCTGACCTCGTGATCCGCCCGCCTAGGCCTCCCAAAAATGCTGGGATTACAGGCGTCAGCCACCGCACACCGGCCTGAGTTATTTTTGTTCGTGTCCTTAACTTTCATCTGGTCGACGGATGCAACGCTGTAAATACTGTTTTTGAAAATGATGTAACCCTATTAGGTTCGTTGACTCAGGCACATAGCAAGTCAATACGTTCCAGTAGAAAAGGAGGTATAATAGTGGGGTCGCCAAAGGAGGAGATGGGAGGAAACCTCAAATCCATCACCCTGAGGAATTTGGGGTTAGGGTTTTCAAGGGTTTTGGAGAGGGCTGTAGTGTGGAGATTGTTGATTGTTTTAAGAGATTAGGGTGAAGTCATGGGACAGGGAGATAAAGAACCTGCATTCTTATGCTGACCCCTTTCCTCTCGGGGGATCTTCAAACTGGTAGCTGGAGTTCAAGGTCTGAGAAACATCTTAAGCAATCTTTGAACAAAAAGCTTATAATTCGAATGTCAGAAATACTGTCTATAGGAACAATGGGAATGCAAATGCTGAGTATTCTAGTGCTAGGTGACTTTTATCAACAAGGAAGTGGACCAAAGTACAACCTGATTAATGCTGAATTATAACCATATTTGTGCCCAGAACTTGGCATGAAATTCTTATCAACCCTATGGGAATGGTTTCAATAGAAAGTTTTCAAGTAGTGCTCAATATTTTTATGTATTTTTATTTTCTGTAAAGCGTTTTAAATTTTTTATTTCTTTATTTTTTACGTTTTTTTTTTAGATGGAGTCTCGCCCTGTTGCCTAGGCTGGAATACAGTGGCATAATCTCAGCTCACTGCAACCTCCGCATCCTGGGTTCAACCAATTCTCCTGCCTCAGCCTCACGAGTAGCTGTGATTACAGGTGGCTGCCACCACACCCAGCTAATTTTTGTATTTTTAGTAGAGATGGAGTTTCACCATGTTGGCCAGGTTGTTCTTGAATCCTGACCTCAAGCAATCCACCCACCCTGTCCTCCCAAAGTGCTGGGATTGCAGGTGTGGGCCACCTCGCCCAGCCTGCTGTCATAAATTTTTTAGTTATAATTTTTGCAAAGTTTCATTCTTATTGTCTGTTTCCCCCCAGTCACCTAGGGAGCTATGGCTTTCATCTCAGTATAGCCGGTGCCTAGATCTAGCATTTAGACTGTCCCTGGAACCAATACAAATTGCTCATAATATGTTTGAATGAATCCATGATGGCTTCATGAATTATAGATGCTAGTGGAGGTAGCATCTATAATTAAAGAACAGGATAGGTGCTGTGTGTAGCTTTCAGGTAATAGAAGCAAATACAAAAAGGAAGCTTCAAAGGAGCCAGCAGAATGAGAATGCTATAGATAATTGAGGGGGACATCTGGGTCAGTAGAGTGTGTGGGAGGCCATTGGCTTGGCTTGGGGTGGAGAGATCAGGCCTGCCTGGAATAAGAGGTGGTTATACAAAGAACGTGATGCTGGATTAAAAGGAACCTTGAAAGGCAGGAAGAGAAGTTTATTGTGGATGTAGGAGTCAGTAGACAGTCTTTGTAGAAGCTGACGTGGTGAAAGCTGTATTTTACTATGATTGAAAGACATTGGAGTCAGGGTGAAGAAAGACAAGTGTTGCGGAGAGCGGTGCCTCAGTGAAAACCAATGCATTGTCCAGAGAGATCCTTTTTTAGAGACAGGATCTGGCTCTGGGATCTCACCCAGGCTGGAGTGCAGTGGCATCATCATAGCTCACTGTAAACTTGAACTCTTGGGCTCAAGTGATCCTTCCACCTGAGCCTTGTGTGTGCGTGTTCGTTTCTTTGGTTTTTTTTTTTTTTTTTTTTTTTTTTGTTTTTTTTTTTTGCTTTTAGTAGAGATAGGGTCTCTCTATGTTGCCCAGGCTGGTCTTGAACTCCTGGGCTGAAGCTATCCTCCCACCTCAGCCTTCCAAAGCGCTGGATTACAAGTGCATGCCACCATGTCTGGTTCAGAGAAACTGTTGAGGAAATTCCTCTGGGTTATTTTATTCAGATTCCATGGAAGCTTTTTCACAACCCTGTAAATTGCAGTTATGAGATGCAGTTAAGGATAGCACTTACATATATATAGACAAGTCTGTTGATTCATTGATAAACATTCAATTGACAGCCCATCATCCCATGTAGAAAAATCAGTTTTATCTGCATTGGCACATTCATTTCAATATTTCTGATCTATAAATATATGCTTTTTTTTTTGAGATGGAGTTTTGATCTTGTTGCCCAGGCTGGAGTGCAATGGTGCGATCTTGGCTCACCGCAACATTCGCCTCCCAGTTTCAAGCAATTCTCTTGCTTTACCTCCCTAGTAGCTGGGATTACAGGCATGCACCACCACACCTGGCTAATTTTGTATTTTTACTAGAGACAGATGTAAGGCCGGTTGCCTTGCCAGGAGGCCGGACACACCCACCTCTGCACTCAGCACCTGACTCTGCACCCGGCACCAGGCTCTGCACTTGGCACCTAGCTCTGCCACATGGCTCCCCCAGAAGGCTCCGGCTGATACAACCCTGGCCAGCCCTCCTACCAGAAAACCAGGCATTGTGGCTCATGCCTGTAATCCCAGCATCTTGAGGCTGAGGCATGAGACCTGGGAGGCGGAGGTGGCAGTGAGCTGAGGTTGCTCCACTGCACTTCAGCCTGGGCGATAGAGTGAAACTGTGTCTCAAAAAATTAAAAAATGAAAATAAAGTCCACCTCTTATTTTATATCTGTAGTTAAGGCTTGTGGATAGGGTATATTATATTCTGTGTATCTGAGTCCAGACTGAGGGGTGTCACTGTCTGATCAGAACCCATTGATGGCTTTGACAGACCCCTGTCAGATTTGCAATAGGCCACATGTGAACTATTAGTCTGGGGGGATGTGCTCCCAAAACTCAAGTGGAAGATCCAGCAACACTTCAAATCTCCCACTGCTGCTACTGCCGGGATGACCTTCACCAATGTGTTCTCAATCCATGTACTGTGAAAGAACAAGAGGAGAGATTAAGCATCCACTTCTCATACTTCCTGTGGTTGGAGGTGTTCTTTTCTATTTTGGAGTACCAGCTGCCCAGATATCACAACCCAGGCTGTCTGTCCCAATCCTGAGGCTACTGCCTCTCAGGGCACCCGTTGCCCTTGTTGCTTGAGCCAGACCTTTTGGCCTTATTCATCCAGTCCAGGAGGGAAGGTCATGTCCTGTACACACTTGACACATTCAACAGCATCACCTACATGAACGGAAGAATCAGATCCCCTAGAGCCACTGTAGGGTCCCTAGCACCTGTGTACTCCTTGGCCCATCTTGTACTCCTGTGGGATTCCCATTAAGGAAGGCACCCAGGGAGACATCACCTCTAGATGAAGGTCAGGAGGCCCTGTGTGGGTACTATGGTGGCCCAAACTGCAAACCACCCCCAGACGTGTGCCCTAAAAAAAGAGGAAAAAAACTGTTGGGTATACTGAGATTGCGGTATCACAGGCACAGCCTAAGCAAGCAGCTCCCTGGTCCACCTCAACTGCAACCAAGCTCAGTATTTTCCAGTACATGCTGCAGTGTCACATTTCTGTTGTGCTAGAATGCAGTGTTGACTGTCCACACTGCCCTGGTGAGATGGGGTACCACAGCATTCGCAGGCCATGTGTCCTTTCATCAGTGACTACATGAGTCGGATTTCCATTGTTCAATGGTTCCATGTACCTGTGGTGATAGGGTGCATGGAAAGTCCATCATATTCCACAGAAGTCAGTGGCGTATGCCTATAATCCCAGCTACTTGGGAGGCTGAGGCAGGAGAATAGCTTGAACCCAGGAGCTAGAGGTTGCAGTGAGACAAGATCACGCCATTGCACTCCAGCCTGGGTGACAAGAGTGAAACTCCATTTCAAAAAAAAGAAAAAAAAGTCCACCCATTGTTGTATTGCTTGGGCAGTGAAAAGAAGTTCCTTAGTCAGAGAGAAGTCTCATGCAGTGTCCAAAAACATAAATTCTTTTCAGGGGCACCTATGACAGCTCTAGCATTCACAGGACAGACTGGAATGGCCTTAGTAGGTGCCAATGGCAGTGAGGCACAAATGGGGCCCATAGCTAGGGGTCAAGGGTTCAATGAGGTCAATCTGCCAGACCTAGGCATGTCCTAGTCCTCAGTTTATGTGCCCTAATTTTCCTCTTGAGCGATTTAGGCCCATTGGCAAGAATCACAAGATTGTACTGCACCCTTAGTCTCATCTCTCAGGATCATCCCTCAGGCCTTGGCCCAATCTTGTATCTGTGGTGGACTTTCATGTCTAGTGGGTTGGTGTATTAAGCAGGCGGTTGTCACTCATAGGACATAAGCTTGATTGGCATGAGTTTCATTCATGATCCATCTCAAAAGGCCCTTTCCCCTGAGCATCCACGTGAGTGACATACATTCATCCTTCCCAGGCAGCAAGCTGCTTCCATAGTTCTTGACCCCACACAGGGATGCCTCAATAAACAGAT